ATACAGTGCTTACCATCTGCAAGGCATTAAGGAAAGCTTTTTATATGCATATGTATTCAATCCTCACAAGAACCTCTTGAGTGACAGGTAACATTACTATATCCTGGGTTTTTTGGGATGAGGACACTGAGGTTTAGGATGACTAAACCATTTGCATATGGCTACATTGTTATTATGTGGTAAAGCCAGAAATGAAACCTGAGCAGACTGATTACAGACTGTTTTAAACCAACAGGTATTATGAGGAAAGGGATTTTTTGCTACAGGTATTCTGAGATCCTTTACTACACTTGGCTGTATTATAAACTTTTATCAAAGTGGCATTTTTGCAAATATGTTTGAACTCATGGCCTTGTCTTTTCAGTCAAGAATTTCCCAGGATTATGATTTTTTAAAAAATACATCTTGAAAAATCCTGAAGTAAAGGGCACATAGTTTATTATATACTCAAAAGAGGTGGAAAGGGTGGAAGGAGGGGCTTGGCTGTGGTCAGGAGGAAAGCGATTGGTGCCCTGTGGACCACACACTGCCTTTGGCTCAGACTGCACCATGAATACACTCCTCATATTCAAGCTGCCCCTGTCAGTAGCCAGGCGTCCATTTCAGATAATCCATTAGCCTTTCATTCTTCTTACTATATTTTTTTAAAGAACAACAAAAAAATTTTTTTGAGCTTCTTCTGCAAGTAAGCTAAGTGACACTCAATCATCTGTCTCTTGGCACCAGAAGGCACAGGATGCACATGAGCTTGGGCTCTGATCTCTATTCCATCTCCTTTGGTTGTGTGGCACGAAGCAAATGTTTTGACATACAGAAATAACAATACCACTGCTCAGGTTGTTTCTGGAATTAACTGACATCCATGCATATCTCAGGATCACTCAGGGTTCCCTTTTTTTTTTTTTTTTGTGACTGTTTAATGCAGACTAGATACTTCCTCGCAGCACCAAGAAGAAAATAATCAGTCAGTATTCTATCACTGAAGGGATTGGGGTCAGTGGATTACTCTGGCCTTATCTTGCTGCCCTAAGGCCAGTTACACAGGATGAGAAATTCCAGAATCTTTCAAAGAGGAGGTTCATACAGGTTCTTTATATCTAGGGGAATGATCCTTTTTACTTCCCATCTTTTGAAGGTTTATTTAAAATACAAGCATGTGTGCGCACACACACACACACACACACACACACACACACACACACACACATCTGAATGTCTGGAAGGCAGGAGAGAAAGGGAGGAAAGGCTTAACATAGTGTACGGACTACAGAACTGGCTCCTGAGTAATCAAACAAGTTTCTCAAATGCCTGTAGCTCTCCTATTTTGAACCCCACATTCTGTGGCCTGCATCTTATCTCTAGCTTAGTGGGAAACCCCCCCTTGGCTCCAGACGCCCTAGAATGCCCAACTGCTGCTCAGCTTTCAGAACTGGCCTGGGGTGATAAGTCATGCCTGCTGAGCTTGTCTTGACTTGAGCCCGTTTTCACTCTTGGAGAACAAAGCACACACAAGGGAAGGAATAGTTCACGTCAGGCCCAACTGTGTAGCCAGAACCAAGAGATTCCGAGCCTGGGGTCCTACACTTTTTACTGCTGTGACCAAAATACCAGAGAAGAACACCTTAGAGAAGGAAAAGTTCGCTTTAGGATCACAGTTTCAGAGGTTCCGTCCATGGTTGGTCGATAGCATTGCTCTTGACTGAGGTGAGGCAGAACGTCATGACAAAGGAAAGCTACTCAGCTCATGGTGTCCAAAAATAAGAGAAAGGAAGAGGGGCCATGACACTTATAGTCCAAGGGCATCCCCCGAGTGGCCTACTCCTCCAGCACCATTTCACCTGCCTACAGTTACTACCCAATAGTCCATTCAAATTATTAACCCATCAAATGGGATTAATCCACTGATGAGGTTACAACTCTCATAATCCAGTCTTTTCACCTCTGAACATTGCTGCATTACCTAACATATGAGCTCCTTGGGGGACATTTTTAGATCCAAACCAGAATACCTATCTACCCAAGGAATTCAGATAGAAAATAACAAAGTAAAGCTTAGTTCCAAAGTTCCTACAAAGGTCTAGGCACAGCATATGTATTGTTACAAGAATGCTATAAAGTAAATATGTTTATCAATTTAATAATAAACTAGATTGATTATATGACTTGCTGATTCAGCCAGTGAACACAAGGGCTAGGATATGAAACTAGGTCTTCCAGACTCAAATCAATTTCTCTCCATCACACTAAAGCTATAATCCAAAGGGAAGTGACAAGGGCAAATGCCATCAAGGCCAGAGACAAGGCCAGAGACCAGGTAAGAAACAGAGGACAGAGCCCAGGGGTTCAGAGCTGAGCAGAGGCAGGATGGAGAAAAGCCGCCTGGGAATAAGGTGGAGGGATGCAGAAATTGCTGTGAACATCCTCTGTTTGTCCTTGATTTTGCCTCACTGTGGTTAGCACATAGGGTGCAGGCACTGCCTTTAGGGCCAGGAAGAGAAACTGGCACAGCTGGAACTCCCCACTGGTGAACCTCCACCAGACTAGAGCCTGGGAGGGAATGGTAAGCTGAAGGAGTCCAGAAAGGAAGGTCTGTGGAGCTGGAGGTGAGGGTAGAGCCCTAGAGCAGCATCACTGGGTTTCAGGCTACCAGGGGCTCATGCCTTTGAAGTCAGGCTACCTGGGTCCAAATACCTCCTCTGTTTGCCTGCTAGGTGACCTTGAGCTGCTGCTTAATTTTCCTGAGTCTATTTACTCATCTGTGAGATGGAAATAATAATTTGAGATGGAAATAATAATTTAAGGGCTGTTCTGAGAGCTCTATCAGCACTTACCAGGCTCTTGGCATGGGCCCTAGAACATATTAAGTGCTCAGTAAATATTAGCTTTCACTCTTAGTCCCAGGTCCATGGTTGTAAGGCCTGGGAAAGAAAAGCACATTTTTCCTTGTAGGCAGCAGAGTACATTAGCTGACTTTCTATTGCCTCCAGATGTGGTTTCCAATCCTGTGGACTTTTTCTGGGCCCTTCTTTCTCCATCCCTTTTCTTATGCATACTTATGTTTCTGCACCACCTCAGCTGGGTGCAATGTGGTGCACCTGTTATCCCAGTGACTCAGGAGGCTGATGCAGGAGGATCGCTAGTTCAAAGCAGATTCAGCAATTTAGGAAGTCTATGCAACTTAGGAAGGCCATGTCTCAAAACAAGAAATAAAAAGAGGCTGGGGATTTGACTCAGTAGTTAAGTTCCTCTGGGTTCAATCCCTGGTACCAAAGAAATAACAACAACAACAAAAAAACCCAGGAGTAAGCCTCAGGGACCCCTTTGTGTGGTGCCTCTAACCCAGGCAAGAAAGCCAGTCACACTCCTGATGTACTCACACTTTGGATTTGAGAATCAGACTGACTTGGTTTAAATCCCAGCCCTGCCACTTTTTAGCAAGTTGAGTCATGCTTCAGAGTCTCAGAGTTGGTCATCTTATGAAATGGGACTAATAAGATCTACTTCACAGATGCGTTGTGAAGATAAACATTTTTAACCATCTGGCGAGAGTTACAGCACTCACCTTCCGAAGTCAACACACCTATCTTAGCAGGGATCCCATCTCCTCTGGGACTTGGGCTTTGTGGAAGGCTCCAGACCCTCCCTAACCTGCAGCAGGGGTTCAGCGGCCCTGGTCCAGCAGAGAAAGCCCATAGGCTGTGCAAGTAGCTGCCCTCCACCTTCCCCCTGGCTTTACCTCACCCTTACGCCCACACCCCAGCATCTGTTACCCAGAGAGTCAGATGCCAAGCCTTGCCTGAGACTCTCCCTGGGTTCATTTGATATATTGCCATTTTGTTTTTAAAGAAAAGCCAATATCAGTGCGGGGACCCTGTGGAAGGCAGATCCTGTCACTGCCGACTGCCAGCTGTGTCCTGTCTCTGTCATCCTGCCCTGGGGGACCCAGGTGATCCCTTTACAGAGTCTCACAGCAGGCAACTGCCCCAGGTCCCCATGGAGGCAAGGACAGCAAAACTCTGGGCATTCTGGGAACCTGGGGCATTCCCTGAGCAGAGCTCTGCAATTCTGCTGAAAGTCTGGTCATTGTCTGTCTTTTCTTGATGAGGAAGTTTTCCAGAAGCTACGTGCTCCGGACCTTACCTTGCAGAGAGAAGAGTAGGGAGTCCCACTGAGTGAGTTCCTGTAGTGTTCTAGGCACTGTAGAGGCTCTTACTCATGGTAACATCCTCCCAACTGCATGGAGGGTCTTACTATGACTGTTTTGTTTTGTTTCCATTTCTCTTTACAGACGAGAAAACAGAGGTTCAATAACTTGCCCACAGTTAAACAGCTGGAAAAGGAGAAGATAAGAATTCAAACAAAGTCTGTTTCACTTAGGAATCCATTACAACGTGCTGCCACTTAAAGACAGTGTAAATAATAAGAGTTTAAATAGTGTTTGAGAGGGAGGAAGGAGGTGGGCTTGCCACTCTGCCCGGTGCTGCTTTGGCCAAGTTGAGAGCAGTGGAAATCTGAGTAACTCTCCAGTCGTTCCCCCTTTCTGTTTTAGGAAACATAACCCCTAACTCTTACCAATGCATAGTATCTGGGGAGTTTGCTGAATTTGCCTACCTCAGAAACAATGTACCTTGGGAGAGGTTTTGGACCAGAATGTGCAAACAAGCTGGCTTGCAGACCAAACCTAACCTAGAGAGATGTTCTGTTTTATCATCTATTTAGTCTTGTATTTTTTTTTCTTAAACTTCCACTTAACATTAAAAAAAAAAAATAGCAGAATCACATAAAACACAGCAGACTCACATAAAACAGCAGGTTTCTGAATTATCTTGAGAAATCATAAGCTCTAATAACCCTGATCCTCCATCCCCTTCTGGCCTCTTGGGCTAAAGTGCAGCAGCTGCCCCTTGGACAGAAGCAGAAAAGCGCTTCCTAACTTGCCACCTCCCCACGACTCCCTCCTACCACTGTGGTTTCATGCCTTTCCCTCTTTGCTTCTCTAGGTGTTCCCTTCCCAAAGAACTTTCTTCAGATCTGCAAGAAGATCCTGTGCCGCCTTTTCCGAGTCTTCGTCCATGTCTACATCCACCACTTTGACCGGGTCATTGTGATGGGCGCAGAGGCTCACGTCAACACCTGCTACAAACACTTCTATTACTTCGTCACAGAGATGAACCTCATAGACCGAAAGGAGCTAGAGCCCTTGGTAAGTGTTACCCAAATCACCCCCAGGAGCTCAGCCATTTGCCACAGTGCATTGCCAGGCCCATGGAAAATGCCTACAATGTTAGCTGGAGAGTCGCAGAACAAGAGGGCTCAGTAGTCAGCTGAGCCCAGAGACTCCAAGATGTCCACTGTTGCCATTAAGTGTCTGAGATTGTTCCCTGAGAGGTGGCATAATGTAGGGGGGGTGGGGTATGGTGGTTTGGGCTGGAGGAAGTAGCTTTAATTCTCAACTCTGAAACCATTCACTTACTTACTTAATATCCTAAAGGGGCATCTTGGATCTCTTATGGTATTGCTTACATTATTCACAAGGATGTTTCAGAATTATTTTCTCTATCAGTAAATGAATATTTTAACACCTACTCTGTGCCAGCTGCTGGGCATACAAAGTTAAGTAAAATTGCCTTTGAGAAAGAGTGGAAGTAAGCCTTAAACAAGAATTAGTGCCATAGAGACTCTGCCCTTCACAGTGAATCCACTATAGTGAAATTATAGTGAATGTGTTAGAATTCAGAACACTGAAGATGAAGCATTAGGATTTGTGTATAGGTGAGTGAGGCTTATTTTCACTTTCTTTCTAAGCTACTTTCACCATTGGATTCAAGGGGTGCTTTGGAATTCTAGGACCCTAAAAATCCCATCCCCTTTGGAATCGGTAGGTACTTTAATGTGAACACTTTAATCATAGCAATTTCCACTTGATTGAGTACTTTCTTATCCAGTAGCATACTTGGCTTTGTATTAAAATCAATGTCTCTTTTTTTAAAACAGTTAAAGTGGTAGTTTTGGTTAGTACAGCTCACAGAGCAACCAAAGTTTCATCTAAATTTATTTGACTGACGTCCAGAATGCTGGGGACAGGATATCTGTTTTTGCCACCACGAATCTCCTTATTTACATGTTTTAAATTATAGGTTTTTTATGATGTAGGTACATCTAGGTTGACAGGTCAGACAATTGCCATTGAAAAGACTTTGTTATACTCACACAACCCAAAAATAAGGGTCAGCCAGGAGACCAAGGGAACAAGGAAAAAATGGGCAAGAGCCTTTTCTGGAGTTTCCATGAGAAGGAATGGGAATGGCAGGATAAACAGGTTTAGGGTTCACCAGTTTGAATAATCTCAGCAGATTCTGGGGCACAGGAGCTGTTCCTACTTGTCTGGTCCCGGCCCTGGGGCTGTTGGTGTGAGAGGCTGATGGAGGAGGTGGGCTCTGGATTGGCTGGTTTGTGTTGGCTGTTGTGTGAACAGTCTGGGTAAGAGCTGTTTACTATTTCTAGGAATTAGCCAGTGCTGCTGGGAGGGGCAGCGCCTCCAGGATCAATAGGGCCCAGATGTAAAAGAACCAAAATACAAAAAATAAAAGACATGTTTAATATAGTACAGCACCTGTATTTGGCAAAGAAGATATTGATGAACTTTATGTCACCTTTAGAATTTCTCAATTCACAATCTATGATCGTGCTGTGGGAGTACGTGGCAAAAAAAATATTTTTCTTTGCATCACTAAACTCTTCTGAAATATAGCAAGACTTTTTGCATACAATTGAGATATATCAGCCTGGTGCATACCTGTAATCCTAGCAGGTAGGGAGGCTGAGGAAGGGGGATCACAGGTTCAAAGCCAGCCTCAGGAACTTAGCAAGGCCCTCCCTAAGAAACTTACCAAGACCCTGTCTGAAAATAAAAAAAGATTTGCAGATGTGGCTCACTAGTTAAGCACCCCTGAATTCGATCACTGATACCAAAAAAAAAAAAAAAAAAAAAAAAGTTATATCATTGGCTAAAGAAGAGCTAACCTTCTTCATTTTCTTTCTCAACAGTTTTCTAGAAAGCTTTGGGTGAGGGCAGAAACTGAGTTATCTCTGTACATAGTTGGACAACTCAAATAGAAATAAACTGAAATTCATTGATGGTGGAGTTTTACTAGTTTGTCCTTTATAAAGGCTGTTGAGGGTAAACAGCCACCACAAGAAGAAAAGGTTGTGCAAATAACTCAGGGAAGTTAAAAGAGTGGAAACCATTGATAAAGCTAATTTCATAAAATGTCAAGGACAAAAGAACGATTGGAGAGGGGCTATGTCAATGAAGAGGTGGGGGACATGGTTCTGCGTCTGAGGGTTTGAGTTCAGTTCCCTTTAGTGAGTATCAACAGGTGGAAGAAAAACACCTTCCCCAAAGGCACGCCTTAAAGAAGGCCTATCCTGAGTGCCCACTTGTTCAGTGTTGCTGAGCTAAAGGAACAGAATTTCAGATGGATAGAGCAGAAAGTCAATTTCTCCTTTATGCACAGAAGCATAAAGACCATTGAAGGATAAAGCTGAGTATAAATCAGCAAGTAGAGAAAGCCTTTCTTTGCCATCAAAAAAAAAAAAAAAGAAAAGAAAAGAAAAGAAAAAAGAAAAAATCATCTTGTTTTCTCTCTAACTGAAGAAGAACGGCCCCAGGAATTCTAGCACCTTGCAGTGCCAGGAGCTGACTTGAAGTCTCATAGTCACAGGCAGGCCCTGAACAGGCCCACTTTGGGGTCTGAGAGAAAAACTATGATTATATTAACCAGGAATTATTAACAGTGGAAGTGGGCAAGAAAATATCAGTTTTTCCCCAGAAGTTTGTTATTTCTATAAATTTCGTAGGAACAATATTCTTCCTACCCTTATGTTTTATTAATTATAGTTATAGGGAAATTAATGTTAGTATTTTTTAATACTTAATTTTTCTGAAATAATATATTTGCTTCACCCAAACCAAAACCTATAAAGCACAAGAATAGATGCTGTGACAGTTTTTGAGGATGTGTTATGATGTCAGGCTCTGGATGCTTAATCTGATGTCTAGGAAGAGTACTACACTTGTGGATCATTATTGCTAAAACTTATGTAAGTTGATGGTACTGGAATATCGGACTTCTGAGTCTGCTGTTGCAGTGAACACGTTATGATCAGATGTGGCATATCAAATCAATGCATTTTTGTCTGATTTGCCTATTTCAAGAACTCTCTTTGCACAAAGCAAGTTGCTCAAATATTCTATATGCGTAAGAAAGATAGGCTCTCCAGAAGCTTATAAAGCAGGCTGGGAAATAAAATATAATGAATCTCTCCCAACTTCAGCCCTGGAAGGATGAGGAAGAAATCAGTCTGTGCCTTCACATTCTGTTCATACATTCTTTAGACTCTACTAGAGCCAGGGGCCAGAAGGGCAGCCTTTGTCCAGACAGTTTTCTTTAGAAAATTAGCATTCCCAGAGGTTTCACACCACCCGTGGTGCGCTCCTGGAGTGCGCCTTGGGATTCCAGTGTAGAACTCAGAGACCCACCACGTTCTTTCCTCTGTGCTTCCACCACGCACAGCCACCCTCTGCTCCCAGAGACCAACCAGCTGCTTTCTTGTGACGTTGACTGAGTATCTGGCATGTGGTTACTTTGAGGATCCAGCACACTGAAGGGTAGGAGATTCAGTGTCATACAAAGCAGGAGACAAGACTCAGACTCTCTGGGTTCCAACCCTGGACCCTCCATTTATTAATTTGCAACCTTAAGTAAGATACTTAGCTTTTCAAAGCCCCATTTTCTTCATTCATGGAATAAGTATATATAGAGTTCTAAAAATGAAATGGGTTAGTCACATGGTAAATGCTTAAGAAATATTAGCTGTTAAATGACATCATGAATGTAAGAAATGTACTTAGCACATAGTATGGAAGAATTACCCTAATTCTTCCCTAGGTTTCTCGGCCTTTTCTCCATCTTAATGAACCCCTAGGTAGCCTTGAAGCAAATGTAATTAATTGTACTTAAATCAGTCTCTCCCATGGGGCTGTCAGCTCTCTGAGGACTGGGAATAAGCAGGACATAAACCTCCATGGTCCCTAGTTCATCATAAATACCTAATATGTTTTTGAATTGGGAAGAGTACTTTAGGGACAAAGGGATTACACCCCCCGCCATTCCTTTGTACCTTCCTTACCTCAGAACATGCCTGCAGATATTCACTTAGCCATTTACTTTTTGGAAATAATACTTTACCCTATCCAATTTGTAACAGAGATTAAAAACAAAATAAGGCATAAATGAGTGAAGGGAAGCACTGTAAGCTTCAGACATGACAGAGAAAAAGGTGGCCACAGCCCTCAATGATCTCTGTCCCAGATTCCAGATGGATCACCCAGGAAATGTCGAATGCTCCCACACTGCCTTTGTGTCCTGGTATGCCAAACAGGGTGACCAACCCTACCAATTCTAGCACTGAAAATTCCATGTCATGGGAAAAACCTTGGTCCCAGGCAAATTGTGATAGTTGGTCACCCCTCTCAGTCCTCTTAGTGGGAATACAGTTTGGAATTCAGAAACTGAGAAAAGGTCACACTGGCCAGCACAGTGAAGGCCAGCATGTCTGTCAGCCTCCAGGGCTTGCACTGTGGCTCCCATTGGGACCTGCTGCTCCACCTCTGCAGCCAGCAGCCTGGGAACCCAGGGAAACACTTGCCATTTCACTTGCTATCTGACAGGGAGGGGGAGGCTGGCACAGTGACAGATGTGACAGATCATCCGTTTCTCATGTAAATGTATCAGCTAAAGATGACCCGAACTCAAGCAAGTTCAGAGTTGGAGGAAAGGAGCCCAAATGATGCTGGTAATTGGAAAATGGGCCAGGCCCTGATTGAAGAAGCACAAACAGCTAGCAGTATTTTGTTGGCCTTTCACTAAAAACAAGATCAGACTCAATGAGGGCTGTTAGCAATGCAGTAGCTGTGAATGAAGAGCTGGTTAGGGCTGGAAGGGAAAGATTGGCAAGGTGGGAAGAACAGACAGGAAGGTACACCCTAATATAGCCGCTGACCCTTGAGTGACCTTCCCATTCTTTCTCCCAGACCCCATTCCTTATTGCTAACCAGGAAAATGATTATACCGTCACCCACTTTGTAGAGGTGCTGCTGTGAAACCAAGGGTTACAGCAGGGCTATTCTGTTACTTCTGG